CATTTGAAAATATCGGGAATGGTGACTTGTTTCTTATTTGTTTTGTTTGTGTTTACCTGGCCCATTAATAATTAAAAAAAACAATTCAATTGTATAAAATGGTGTCAACACTTGAGGTTTCAATCGCCTTTGGGCATAATTAGCAGAAAGTCAATGCATATTATTTGGGTATCAGTGTTACACATCACTGAACACGCTGGTCAACTTTGACACTAATGTCAATCTATGTACTGCAAAAAATCTTTGTTTCCATAATTGTATATAAATTTATTTCGGGATTAATTAATTTTGAACATAATCTGAGGGTTCCATTTGCGTGATTTACAGATGTACACTAGAACATTTATATAATAAAACACTTAAAACTGAGAATCTAAAGATAATTAAATTGGCAAGTCATTGAAAATAATCATGACGGAAATATAATACTCGGCAATGTTTACAAAGAATTCTTTAAAAGCTCCAATACTTGAGAAAAATGCATTCAGAGTATAGTATGGGAATCGGCCTTGCTCTATAATTATTATATCTATTTAAAGCTAATTCTGGTAGAAAATAAACAATTCAAGTTTAATTTTCTATATATAAAAAAATAAATATGAAAACAATTATCAATCACAGAAAATGAAGAAACTGGTTTATTTTGAAAATAAAGAAATTGGTTTATTTTGGTGAAAAATTAATATACCAAATAATTGTGTTTAAATATTCATGTTTTCAATAGGTGTGAACGTCTTCTTCGTTCAATAATTATTATTTGTTTCTATACGCGTACTGTGATTTTCTTAACAGTTCAGGAATGACTATCGCGTAAGAACTGTAAATATTTGTTGATACTACTCAGAAAGAAATGATCATCAATTTCAACTACCTTTTATATAGTTATATTGTTTATTGGTAATCTCATTCTGAGTAAGGTTCACCCATGAAATTAATTAACCCCGCCCACTGGGACTGCTGAGACTGCTTTCTTGGACTGCTTTCTGGGACTGCTGGGACCGCTGTGAAACTGCTCTGGGACCGCCGTGGGACTGCTTTAGCAGTCCCGGAAAGCAGTCCCCGGGACTGCTCTGGGACTGCTTTGTGTCAGGTTGGGTCTGGTTGCTACTGTATATGGAGAAAGGAACAGTATTTCAACTCAAAAGTCCATTCAAGCCATGCAAATCAGGACCAGAGCAAACACGGTCCTTTAAAACATTAGAGGTGAGATCAGATGCATGCCATGAAGGATAGGGTATCCCCTGCCGACCGAGCACTTCCGCCGTGTGCTCCTTGTCATGATCGGGAAATAAAGGAAAAATCATTAGACAATTCAGTGTGTAAATAATGGTCTTACATTTAGTATTAAAAACGTAAGTTTACATTTGAGTCAAAAAAGATTGTATCTGCTGACAAGGTCATTGTTTCGACCACAGAACTTGCGAAATGATGACTTTAAAGAAGTCTATTGATATCCTTGATTTTATTGTTTCATTAACTTGTTTGTCAATAGCTTATCTCGTTTAAGAAGTTCTGTACGTAGGGCATGCTCTTGTGTATCGAATCAACTGAGAGATAAAAACCTCGTTTGCAGGTGATAAGGGTATATTGCTAGAAAAGTAAGGGAAGTTGACTATTGGAAAGTTGAAGCTATCATGTTTAAGTAAAATGTTTTTGTTAGGTTACCATTAACGTCTTTTTCCAGTAAAATATCCAAATATAAAACAGGTTTGTCAGACTCGGTGTTATCTTTTATTTCGAGCTCACCGGGATATATAATGTCGACATGTGAATGGAAACAAATATTCTTAATTGATAATACGTCGTCGATCTATCTAAATGTCGAGTTGAAGGCAACCACAAGCGGTTTCGTCTTCTCATGAATAAGATTTTGCATAATTTTCAGTTTCATATGAATACAAACATAGGTGTATGTGCTAATAACGGGGGCGCAATCGGGACCCATGGGAATTCAGATAGATTGTTGGAAGACCTGGTTTCTACAAAAACACTAGATTGTTGGAAGACCTGGTTTCTACAAAAACACTTAGATATTGTCAATCAGAAACTCAAGCATTTTTTAATATGAACTTCTGAGTACTTATGTCTCCCAGTTGATTAGGTGCGAAAGAGCATGCTTTACACTCGAACAGTTTCTAAAACAATGCAAACTATTGACAACCGAGTTGATGTGACAAGAATATGAACAGTCTCTTATCACGTCATCAATTCGCAAGTACTGTGGATTTGCTATGTTTTTGTCAGCAAATAAACTATGTTAGGCTTTCTTTAAAATAATGTTTGTTGGTTGGGATTTTTTCCGTAGAAAAGTTAAACTTGCATATTGACAGACTGAGAAAATCAAGGAATTAAAAAAAAAAAAAAAAAAAAAAAAAAAAAATTCGTCTTCTGGAGGTTAAAAAAAGTCAGACCATTTTAGGCAGTCGGTCGGGCGAGGACAAACAAACAGTTTTCAAAGATGGCCTTATTACGTCTAATGTTGACAGATTTTTCATACTAAATGCAAGTCCATTATTTACACACTGAATTGTATACGGATTTTGAATTATTTAAATGGACTTTTAAGCATGATGTCAATGAATAAAACTAAATGTGCATAATTTATAATTTGTTGATGTTTCCATAAAAATACATGTATGGATAGGCACAGTCGCCGTCAAATGTGGGTGTGGGTTTGGAGCGATAAATAAAAAGACAGACTGCCGATTTGGTAAAATGGTGACGTCTCATATAATTGTATGAGTGGAAAGGTTTTGCAAAAGACTTAAAAGAAAAACCACAACAGTCCATCAATGTTATGTTTGAAAAGATTTACAAAAAATGCACAGGATCCAACCATAATGATAACCACTGAAAATAGCAAAATAATCACTGGGAAGTCCTATGCAATGAACTGAATGGAGTGTGCAATTTTAAATTTCAAATTGATCAGCTTACATTTAAAATAAATAATATGTTGACAATGTCACTGTTGTACATGTATGAAGCGCAGCTGTTTGATACATATTTTCTTTAAAAAACCCAGATCCGTCTTTAAAGGCCTAATCTGTGATGTCACATGAGGTCGTACATGTATGTAAATTATAATTTTAAATGTATAAGGAAGTCTGAAAAAGTAAACACATAACTAAGATTTTATTTACTCCATCTGAAATTTTCAATAAAGCAGGTGGAATGTTTTCTTTGTGATTATGCACTAAACAACAGAATTGCAGTTACGGAAAAACAGTTCATTTGTGTTGCATTGTCCGTTAAAAAGTTACCAAATTCATATGGGTCAATATACACAGCTCTCTTTGCACCCAGGTGTTGTTTTCAAAGTTTGCGATAACAAAAGCGCTTTGGACCCTTTGCTACTCTCATTTCTCGTATTTTTTCTTCTCTAAGGTCTTTCAAATTACGCAAGTAAAAATTCAGGTTAGAATCTTAATTTTACGTTACGGTGACTAGTTATCAATTAAGTACAATTGTATCATTAAGAAATAACAAAATGCATGGAAAAAATGCTTTTTAGAAATTGAAGCTTTTTCCGAGCAAATGTTAGTCATTAGTTTTTAGTTTTGCATAAGGATATAAATCTTGGGTATTTTTTTCTCTTTCCTATTCTTTCTTTCTACTAACATCTAATAGGCGCAAAAATTAAAATGGAATAATACTAAAGTTTTTTGATGATCAGCTTTTTAAGGACTGTGTATTTTTTACTGTGTAATTCATACTGCAGCTAGGATGATATTCCTCGCATATATGTAAAAAAAATACTCATAATCTCGTTTTTAATTTAGTTCTACATGCAAGTACAAAAGGACACAACCGGGAATCATTTTCATGATTTATTACAAATGTCACATGAAACTCCTATTACTCGTGAACATGTTAGTTCTTCACTTAAATCACTTAGAAAATACACGACCGTCTTCAGAGTATGCAAAATGAATTAAAATTATGTTAAATAATTTGAAAACAACTCACTGAACTCTCATCTGATTTGTTAAGACAGGGTATAACTATCATACACAAACCACTACAAAAAGTTTTAACTTATGTGAAACTGTATCACATAGTGTTAAATCAACTTTATCCAAATCATGACCTCCATGGGTAGGGTGGGGCTACAATAGGGGATCACAGTTTTACATGGGAATGTATGGAAAAAAATCTTCAAAAATCTTCTCAATACCTCTGGATCAGAGAAAAAAATTAACTTATATGAAAACTTTTTAACATAGTGTAAAATCAAATCTGTTCTTTCAAAACTCTACTCCTCCAACAGCTTTGTAGCTAGTTCCATTAATACTTGGAGCACAAGAAGACTATACTAAGAATACTGTTCGTTATCTCCATATATTTCATAAGATACATTATCCTGTTTTTTGGTTTTTGATTTCCATGAACACTGTTGTCATGACTAGCAAAAAAGGATGTTTTGTGAAATTCATTCAAACTGCTATTCCGACTATAGTTTTGGTTCGATTTCAATGACTTTGTGCACAATCAGCTTTTCATAATGTAGCGTTTATCAGTTTTTGATTTTCTTTAAATGATGTTATAGTTGCAGAACTGTTGCTTTGTGGTTGAGAAAATTCGGAGAGGCAAACCAGAGATCCAAAATTCAGATCCAAGTATTGGAAAAATCTTCGATTTACAGCGACAGTTTTTGTAGCTCGCTTCCGGTAATTTTTCTTTAATTATATGTGTCCCCCTCTTAAAGTATGATATCTGTTAATATACCATATTTAACTCCGATTCCTGGACTGGGTTGCTCAAAACACTGGTTAATTTTGACCACTGGTTAAGTTAGCTAGTGGTTAAATTCTTTATCCAATGGCCAACTAACCACTGGTCAAATATTTGTTGCTCAAAATAAATTTAGCCCTTGGTTAGCTAACCACTGGTTAAGTCATTTAACCAGTGGTTAGTATCCCACAATGCATTACATTTGTCCGTCTGTCACCGCAAAAAAACATTGCTTCCAACACTGTAAACAAAAAAAGAAGTGAGAATTTTTCAGCTGATGAGACTTTATTTTTAGTAGAGCAAGTGGAGAAACATATTGGGGTTATAAAATCAAAACATACTAACCAAGTAACAAATGTTAAAAAGGCTGCTGCATGGCGCGAGATCACAGAAGCTGTAAACTCAAGGGGTGGGGTTTTAAGAACAGTCGAACAAGTCAAAGAAAAGTATCGGAAAGCTTGTTCTAAAGCTAAGGGGGAAATCGTTAGCCAGAAAACACATCGCCTGAAGACCGGTGGTGGTCCACCTCCACCCCCAGTTGATGCCATATCACAAAAAATTCTGGACGTGTTCCAAGACTCCCCAAATTTCGTTGGCATTGAAGGAGGGATCGAAGTCGGAGGCCTTGTCTTTGAAGGTACTTTTCCTTTTTCTGAAGTAGAATTCAAATAAAACAATAGCAGGTCGACACAATGTTTACATTCTACAACGAGGAAATTCGAAATACCGAAGCCCATCTGCGCACACAGAAACTTCTATAGAATTCATTCTTTTTCATTGAAACAATTTAGTTTGAGTTAAGAGTATATATTTTACCTCGTGTTCTCGGGTTACTAGTGCATTCCTGTCAAACCATTCATTACGTATTGAAACATCTCTCGCAGACGGTCCGAGTCAGACGCGGTTCTCACAAACTGCATGGTGAAGGCCAAATTAAAGAGAAGCGTTTCGCCCCTGTGGTGTTTCGCTCCAGCCAAAATTGTTATAAATGAAACAAGGGCTTGATTCAAAACATTTTTTTTTAAATCAGATAATTTTATAGCGTAGTACGCAATGCCAAGCTTCTTATATTTTTTGGTTAAATACTTTTTTCTTGAAAGAAATTATTCTATTTATTAGAAACTTTGTATATTAAACATATTTCTACATGGGAAAAAAAATTTAATTTTCTTTTGTACAGAGGTGTCATTGCCAGCAACAAGTACTCATGAGGATTTTGACTGTTCAAGTAACTATTATTAATACTGTAATGCATACCGTATGACGGGTATTTTCTGCGGTTGTCCAATTTTTGCGGAATTTTGCGGATAGGACAAATCCGCAAAAATTACAATCGCAAAATATTTTTCAATATTTTTTCAGATATATATTTTATACATGCAAATATGATAAGTGATGCGTATGTCCTCGTTAGCGAGAAAATTCGGGTGTCATCGAAATTCGAAGATTTTAGATATCAGGTTTTTTCCAAAACATATTGAATTAAAAAAAACCGTTGCTGTAAATAATTTCAATTTAATAAGTTTAAACAAAAACATCTTTTCTTGTACCTACTTCTTTTTTTTATACGGATATGCACCCAGTTAGCACAACAACGTTATTAAAACGTTATAAAAACGTTATGAAAATGTTATGAAAACATTTTTTAAAACGTTATTACAACGTTATTTTGTGTGTTTTTTTAAACGTTATTATAACGTTTTGCAAAAATGTTGTACTGTAATGTTTTAAAAACATTTTTAAAAACGTTTGGAAAACATTTTTAAAACGTTTTGAGAACATTTCTTAGAATGTTTTTAAAACATTTAAAAAAATCAACATAATAAACAATATATTTCTTATAATTTAATAAATTTAAATCCATTCATTAATGTTGTCTAAACACTGTTTTTTTTAACACCTGCACAATAAAATTACAGTCTTCCTTCAAATGAAATTTGTACTGTTTGAAATACGTAAAGATCACAGCATCCTTATTCCATTAGAAATTAATCTGTTGTACACTTGGACTTCTCTATTTTCATCTGAAAAACAAAAATTTAGACATAAAACTTTGACTAAATGATTACCCATTCATACTCGTACATTTCTTTTTAGTTAAACATATATCCATGTATTAGGGCATCTAACAAACTATACATACTAGTATATAAAATCAGATAAACACAAAGAAAGTATGTTTTGGTATACAGTTGTATTAATAAACAAAAACTTACATGTGTAAATATATCTATATATTTCTGATAACCAACGTCAAACATACCTTATCATATTTAATAAATTCCTCCAGGAAGGTATGGATCAAACCTCTTCGTCCCACATCTCATTAAATCGTAAGAGATTGTCTTTGATGCTTAGTAAGCCTTGTAAGCAGCAGCTATTAAAATGTAATGTGAAATTCATTATAAGTAAATGTATAAGCATATTTAACGAAGGCGTCGAAAGCAAATTAAAAGTGTGTGTGTGTGGGGGGGGGGGGAGGGGGAGGTAAACCAACAAAAACGGGGTAAGCCCGAATTTTCACTAACTCTATTATGGGGGGGCTAAGCCCCCTGCCTAGACTCCCCGGTTCCGACGCATATGTTTAATAGTTAAATGAAAACAACACAGCATTACTGGCATTTAGATAATTTTCCTTTTGCTCAATACATTTTCCAATGATGTTAACTGAATCTTCATGCATTTTCTTAGCATTAATGGTGAAAAACTTACTCTTAATAATTCTTTAAAAGAGTGCACTTTTCAACCCTCTGTCCAGTCCCAGTGAACTGACCTATGCAATTTGTTTGTATCATTGTCCTCATATCTCCACTCTGCATTGAAACCATTGCATTCATCTAAAATGAGTGTTATATTTTATCATGAAGAATGTGGATTTCAAAATCTTTGATTGCTATCAAATATATAACCAAGCCTGAGGTTAATTAATTAATTCCTCTCCTTTCCCTTCCAAAAGAAAATAGGTTTAACATGTTTAGCGTGGCATTGTATTCTGTAATACATAAACAAATCTAACAAATCATTTTACATCTCTTAAGAATTATCTAACCCTGTCTTGTTAAGACCCCCTCCCACACCCATTCCTATTCCCAACTATGTTTTAATTATGTTTTAAACCCCGTCACACATTTTTAATATATGTAAATAAACCCAAGTTTTCAAACAATAAATCGCCCGCCTAATTCAAATGCAAATGAACTTTATAAATTCAACTCAACAAACATATATGTATGCACCTAAGTCTATGAGAATGAAAGATCTAAGATTCTAAATGCATATGTATTTACAGCTACAATATGATTGCTAAGTATACAATATGAATACTATTCAAAATTTAACATACCATACGTTGACATTTGTAAGATATTCCCCTATTCCTTTTCTTTTTCTTACAAGAATGCCGCCGAGTTTTTCAAAACTGTGATTCTGATGACCTATATAGATCACATGGACATAGTTTGCAACAAGGATCGGCTGCATCAGCCCTGGCCATGGCATCCCGCTGTGTCACTCAATTAACTCTCGATAAACACATTATCGAAGGGGGAACTCCCATAGCACAAATAATTGACTCCACTGAATTATTTAATTCAGGAACTTTGTTGAACAAATAATTTTTCAGAATTTTTTTAACTCTTCTTGTTATATATATAAATATTTTTTACAATGGTTTAAGAGATAAATATGAACACATTCGTGTTGTTGTTGTTGTTGTTTTTTTTAATTTTATTACCACGACTCAAAGTCAATCATAACTCACACTTTGGAGCTAATTATAAGAAAACAGAAGTTATATATATATATATATATATATATATATATATATATATATATATATATATATATATATATATATATATATATATATATATATATATATAAAACGTCTTTCACTTAATAATGAAAAAACTTCTGATGCTTGGAGTTGGTATTTCTGTAACGTTTTTACAATGTTTTGCAAACATTTTAAGACAATCTTGTATTCATGTTGTCTGGTAACATTTGTATTTTATGAAATTTATAATAATTATTACACAAGGTATGATTTTTTTTCAATCATGCTATTTAAGTTATAGCTAAGCGATTTTTTTATCATTATAGAAATTAATGTTAAATGCTAAATGTTTTCTGAAAACCTCCTTGCAACACGAACAAAATGTTATGAAAAACATTTTTAAAATGATTGTTAAGAACGTTTTCTGATAACGTCTTTACAACCAAAATAAAACGTTTTTAAAAACATTTTATAAACGTTTTATTAAAATGTTTTCAGATAACATCATTACAACGGGAATTAAATGTTATGAAAACGTTTTGTGCTACCTGGGCATGTACATGTAAATGACTAAAAGAGATTTCGCAATTAGTAGTCCAAACTCCGATAGCTGCAAACAACACCTAGTAGCTTTTCTTTCTTTCTTTAACACTTTTTTCAATCTTGTGTTTTTATCTGGAGACCATAATTACTGCTTGTATACACAAAGTGGCTTGATTGTCTCGCGAATTTCACACAATGCACACACTGACAGGATTAGTTACGCCTCAATGCACATGGCACCTGTGATTGTACACGGTCAACTTTAGGTTACTTGATTATGCAACTGTTTGTTTGAGCTTAAAATATAAACACCAGATTAATTTTGATGGCAATTAACTATAAGTGTATTTTTTAGAATATGGCTTGGATGCATTAATTATCTATATATTAAAATATTTTAATAGATCGCATAAAACGTTTGTTACAATGTAGAATAAAGATTTTTTTATTGTTGTTTGGATGGACCGATACTGCAATAATTCATTTCAATTGGGACTCAACATAATTTTACAAAGACTAACTTAAAGATAGTAGTTTAGTTAAGCTTAAAAGCTTAATGCCAGTTCTCATGCAACTTTGATCAATATGTCTCAATGAATTTATAAAACGTAAACATGGCAGCTATCTGATAATTCTTAGAGATTAGTGATCATACCCAGTAAATAATTTTTTGCGGTATAATGCAACCGCAGTAATTGAAAACGCAGAAATTAATTTTCTATCTTTAAGGGGTTAAATCGCAAAAATTTCCAACCGCAGAAAATACCCGTTATACGGTATTACAATGTTTATGTAAATAAATATTGAAATTTATCAAACTTTTATATACTAAAATTAATCATTTAAATCATTATTTCATTTTTTATAATAATAATATTAATCAGCATCATCATCAAAATAAACTTATTATAATACTCTGGATATCTATTTCCATCATATATATATATATATATATATATATATATATATATATATATATATATATATATATATATATATATATATATATATATATATATATATATATATATATATATGTTTCTTTTTTATTATAATTATTATTTTTTAGAACCCCAAACTGCCTTTGGATTAGAAAACACCTGTGTTGGTAATTATAACTATTTTCTAAATAAATAACTTTTCACTGGATAAAGTTTTACTACTCAATGGTTTATACAATTACATGTAATTTTATATCATAATTCTGTATGACTTTTATTTTTTAAACAAGAGGCCCATGGGCCACATCGCTCACCTGAGCACATTGGCTGGGCAAAAGCACAAATCAGTTCAGTATTAAAAAGATTACTTGGGGGGGGGGGGGATTGAATTTTAAACTACCTGATGCTTCCATATCAATATAACAAATTGCTTTGTTGTACTTGAGAAGATTTCAAAAATTTTTCCCCATATATTCCTTTGTAAAAATATGATCCCCCACTGTGGCTCCTCCCTATTCCAGGGGTCATAATTTGAACAAACTTGAATCTACACTACCTGAGGATGCATCCATATCAATAAGACTAAGCATAGCTTTTCTGTTCTTGAGAAGAAATATTTTTTTATATATGTTCTTATGTACAACTTTTGACCCCCCACTGGGCCCCACCCTACCCCCGGGGGTCATGATTTGAACAAACTTGAATCTACACCACCTGAGGATGCTTCCACATGAGTTTCATCTTTCCTGGCCCTGTGGTTCTTGAGAAGAAGTTTTTTAAAAGATACTATTAATTTTTCACTAATTCTTTATTATCTCCCCTTGAAAGAAGGCGTGGCCCTTCATTTGAAGAAACTTGAAACCCCTTCACCCAAGGATACTTTGTGGCAAGTTTGGTTGAAATTGGCCCAGTGGTTCTTGAGAAGAAGTCGAAAATGTAAAAAGTTTACAGACAGACAGACAGACAGACGGACAGACGGACGCCGGACAAAAAGTGATCAGAAAAGCTCACTTGAGCCTTCGGCTCAGGTGAGCTAAAAAAGCATCGTTCATGAATGTTCACAACAAGTATACAAAATTTATTCCTTTTTTATATCAATTTGATAAATTACATGTATGATGCATGAATAAATAAATTACACATAATATATAATGGTGGTCTATAGATCTACAAGTACATGCATATTAAGAATGAATTAAATTACTTTACAGATCCTGTTGGAGATGAAGCCTTAGTAACTGCAGCAAACAACATAGAAAGTATGCATTTTAAGATAATGACCATTAATATGAATTATAATATTAATTATAATCATGAATTTTGAATGGAAAAAAAATATTCTGTACCATATGATAATAAAAAATTTAACATTTACACCTCTGAATCTTTAACAGATGAAGCAACACAGACAATTGTTGAACTCCATGATAATTTGAAAGGTAAACTTTCATTTAATTAATAAAATACAGAGTAGAAATAATTAATTAGCCAAGTTAACGTCAGCTAACCCAGATTTATACTTAAACGTTAATACATGTGCTAGTCTTTAAATTTTTAAGAATTATGTACTTGTGTATATAGGTTATCCATTTATACATACATGTACTGTATCAAAGAAATTCTTTGCTATATTTTTTTGTAAGTTTAAAACACTTAATGTTTACTAGGAACATCTGTAACATATGACCTGATGATAACAGAGTCTGGGGCCAAGATTAAGAAAAAAGATGAAAAGGGTAATTTTAATTTGATTGAATAATAAATAATCCTTGCAATTTTCACAGAGAGAAAGAGAGAGAGAGAGAAGGGGGGGGTAGATTGCATTCATTATTTAAAATCCTAAGATTAAAAAAAATAATTAAAAAAAAGATATTTATACCCTGGAACATTTAAATTATTTTTAAAATTTTGTGCAGATAAAGGAAGAAAGAGGAAGAATGAAGAAAGTGTTAGTGTTGCTGCACTGCAAAAATTGGTTCTGAAAGAAGATTTGCGAAGGATTCGAGAAGAAACAGAGCTTATCAAACTACAGAAGGAAAAGGTTGCATTGGAGATTCTGAAACTTAAATTAGAAACATCATCTATGCAAACTGAAAATGAAATGTAAATTAAAAGTAGTTATTGACAATGAATTGTCTGATATTGTTATTTATGGACTGGGCAGCTACTTCATCTAGTAAGACATCAGCCTCATCTGTTTGGTCCTGAGTGTCATCACAGCCAGCATCATTGATTGTCTCTCTCCTGTCCTGAGCAATATTGTGTAAAACAGCACATGCCACAATTATTTTTGCTGCACATTCAGGTTTACACTAAATTGAAAAAAAATCAAAATTATACTTAATAATTTTAAGACCTATCAAAAACTTCTATTAAAATATGACTCAACACTGCATGCTTCTTCTTACAATGAATCACAAAATGTACAATAATGAATTACAAATTTAATTTGAAAAACTTGTATATGATTATGTAAATTATTTTAAAATTACCTTGATTTCTCCATGCAAAGCCAAAAAACGCCTTTTAAGCCATCCAAAACTTCGCTCAACAACTGTTCTAGTTTGTGCATGAGAATTATTATATCTCATCTGAGCCCTTGAATTGGAAAGAGAATGTGTAATTACTTAAAATTTACATTAAATACCTTCTAGTATCATAACTCTTATAGCAAATATAGTCACTGTATTACTGATAAATATTTGTACATGAATTAGACAATACCCCCCCCCCTTTTCTTAATATGTGTTACACCAACGCTTTTAAAGTAAAAAAAAAATGAAAGTATAACAATAAATTATTATAAAAGTATTTTTAAATGATAAAAGAAATAGACTTAAAATTTAGTTCAGTTTTACATGGGTTTAGACTTTTAGTAGGCTAATTTTTCTTTTCAGGTCTTAGGTTTTCATGATTGAACATCTTCCATATATTCTTACTTAATATTCTAAGATTCATTTATTTGATAAATTCACTATAAAATAATGTTGAGAATTTTCTCTATCGTGTGTTTATTTATTTCTTTTTATTCTATTTATTTCTTTATTAATTCCTAAATTAATTATTTACCCTGTGCGGAACTCTCTAGTATGGGAAGGTATTTAAATTTCTCAAAATTTTGTAAACATGGTCATGATGGGTGATGTGCTTCAACAGGTCTGGACGATTTCCAAATATGGAAGTCAAGAACAATAACTGAAAGTTGCTATAAATATACATCATATACACGTAAATATTTTTCTGCCCAATCAGACAACAGCATTTTTACACACCCCAAAACATATTTCAGAGGAACAATAGTAGAACATGTGCTTTTGTTTTTTTCCTCAAAAAGATTTTTTTGACAAAAAATCATTAGAAGTAGGATGAAAAGTTCGGAAGAATAAGGTATTCCCCACATATTTACCGTAAACAAACTTGACATTTTCATCTCAGAAAAGAAAAAAAATAATGCATGTAACAATGCGATCGTTTATGGAGGAATAGATCACATCGTCAAGCTATTATCAAGCACAATTATAACATTGCCAGAACATACTCTGCGCTGGTAAATATAATTTTGCTTAGCCGTCCGATTTTCATCGATAACGCAAGGTTTCCATACGTATAGATCTACTGCACACAAGTATTTATCGTATAGACTACATGTAGTTTTAAGATAACACGGGTTTCATGAGCGCCGAATACCATGTTATATACACTTTAAATGGACAAAAGGAAAGGTGAAAAACATGGAGAAAAGGGAACGTACATGGATTCTTTTGATCACCATATATATGCATATCTTACCTCGCATTACAGAAACTGCATGGACGATTTTGTAATAAGCACTCGTGAAACAATTAAGACTGTTATATTCCAATAAGTAAACATTTTCATGTTAGGCTCTAAAAACTGAAAATCTGTCGTATATATAGCGAATCTCTTAATACAAGTTAAACTTTTGGGGTTGCTACCTCGTAGTGACAGATTTTAATCCCACTTAGAATTTATTCTAAGCTTTTAAGTCGTGTTTGTTCACGGTAGAATTGTCATATATACTATATCATTCCTAAATGTGCATAAAGTTTACAAAAAGTTTGTTCTAAAAAAATCTTTTGATCAAAAAACTCTAAAACCACGTGTTTTATTTATTTTCTCATCGGTATGTCTAAATGCCGCTATTTGATTGGTCAGAAGGATTAGCACCTTGTTCATTCTGTGTATTTATAGCAACTTTCAGTTATCGTTCTTGACTTCCATATTTGGAAATCGTCCAGACCTGTTCAAGGTAGGCCCCGATATCAGATTCTCGGAAGATGAAAGAATCGTGGTTGGAGCCGGGCCATTTTGCAACAATGTTAGTAAATCTGCCTGTTGGGAGATTTAATTTTCAAAATGTAAGACAGAAATAGAAAGAAAGTCGCAATATTCATCGGATCCCCCACTCAAACAAACATCTTACTCTTAGTATGAAAACCACTGAATACAGTCGTGTACAAACATTAACTCAATAACTGATTAAGATTGAAACATTCTGTTGCATGCTCACTCTGGTTGGGCAATAAGTAATGTTTGCGATTAAGTTTTACATTCAAAGGACTCATTGTTTTCATTAAAGAATACTTGCCTTTATGATTGCATATAGCCTGGGTGTTGATAGAGTGGTACCCCTTACGGTTGACATAAGCAGGTTCGTGATCAGATGGAGCAATAATTCTCACATGTGTGCAGTTCACAGCACCAACCACAGCAGGAAATCCAGCAATTGAATAAAATCCTCTCTTAATTATCACCATCTCATTCTGGGATGGCCACTTAATGAACTGTGAAGATATGTTCACTAGCGCCTGCGATACATCTCTGACACTTCTTGATACACTTGATTTATGAAAACCAAGTGTATCTCCTATGGTTTTCATATTATCTCCAGTAGCGTAATAGCGCAGAGCCATTTCTACTTGACTGATGGCTGAAAGGGAGTATGACCTCATGGTTGGGCGACATAACTCTGGTTCAATCAAGTCTGTTATATACTGAACTGATTCATGTGAAAATCTGTACCTTTGTTTATACTCAGATGCATCAAAATCATGATCAAAATGTCTGTAAACCCTTTGTTTCTTTTGTTGTCTGCCAAAATTGGCATCAAATAGTAACCGAGCAGCCATGTTTATCCACTGGATAAGAGACTTAACCCACCTCTGTGGACTGGCTAAATTTGGCCAATATTTAACCACTGGATAGCAAAATTAACCAGTGGATAAATTTTGAGCAACAGAATTTAACCAGTGGTTAAAAGTTAACCGCTGGATAAGAGATTTAACCAGCGGATAAATTTAACCAGTGTTTTGAGCAACCCAGTCCTGGACTAGGTTGCTCAAAACACTGGCTAATTTTGACCACTGGTTAGGTTAGCCGGTGCTTAAATTCTACATCCACTGGCCAACTAACCACTGGTCAAATATCTGTTGCTCAAAATAAAATTAGCCCCTGGTTAGTTAACCACAGGTTAAATGATTTAACCAGTGGTTAGTATCCCACAATGCATTACACTTGTCCACTTGTCAACTAAAAAAAAATGGCTACCATGGTAAATATCATACGAGTGAAAAGTGAGAAGTTATAGTGTTACAACTGTATTGAAGAAGTGGAGAAACACTTATAGATGTAACAGTTATCAACACTAAACAAACGGTTTAAGTCACAAAAAGTCAAGAAAGCACAGGTTTGGCTAAGAATTTAACTATGCTGTAAATTCAAGTGGAGGATCAATAAGACATAGAGTGGTATAGGAGAATTAGCACCACGGCGAAGATGAATAATAGGCTGTGTAAAATAAGACTGATGATGGTGGGTACCAGAGCCCTCATTGAATCTATAGTGTTCAAGACAATGCATAGTGACTCGCTATATCTCTTCGGAATTATTCCTGTTTAACACTTGGCTACACCTACAAGGTAAGTACACCAATTTGCATCGTCTCATACTTAAATAATAACTGATTAAGCACATTTACCTGTTATCACAATGTAAACATCGTCTGCTATGCATTCGAGGAAATTCGCACTGGCTGCGTTCTAGCTTTCAATAGTTACCTTGCCAGAGAGAACTCATTTCAAACACTTACAAAGAAAAAATAAACTTTCACCACATTTATATCTGTCTAACTAACACCGATAGTTAGTAGTCACTACTATTTGCACTTCTGTATATAACAGAAAGGTCATGGTCGAATACATAGATAAAGTGAGTTCGTCACTGAGACATTTCGCTCCGTACCCATACACTGTGTAACAAAAATGCATTAATGCATCATCCAAAGTTTGTTACATAAATACCACACCTTTTTATAAGTAACAATATTTAGAGAAAATAAAGGACTATATATAGATATCTATAAATATCAAATGTGCAAATCATTTTCTCTATAATTATTTTTATTTATTCATTATCACAGAGGAACCTAGTCAAAATGGATGTAAAATCAAAGGAAATAATACACTCTTTATCTGATGCGTCAGGCAAGAAGCATCGCTAAACAAAATGGGGCCAATAAAAAATCATTGTCAAGCGAATGATAATTAATATTGTAAAAAATGATTAAATAAAAAAGCAAGACATTTGAAAAGAAGTGGGGGGGGGGGGGTCGATTCCCAATTTATTTTAATGTATTTTAATAATTTATGTTTGGTTACCAAACTAATATATCAATTTATTTTTGTCCTTATTAAGCCTATATACAAATGACAAACAATTTTATTCATTTATACATACATATATTTAATATCATCATTTTTTTATCAGGAGGTAGGGGAGGGCATCTTGATGAAATCCTTTGCAACGCCAACAATTTTAGCCTTGAAAGAACCCATTCAAAACATTCTTGCTGATGCTGAAGACATGAAATTCTATCATATCTCTGATAGTGTTGTTATGCCCTCTTCCATATTGCTGCAAAGCCATTTCTACTTGACTTATAAATGACTGTGTCTTTGTTAATACTCAACATTTAATACTCAACATTAAATTCGTGATTACAACATATACAAGCCTTTGTTTCTTTTATTATCCAACTAGGTAGCCATGATTATCCACTGGATAAGAGACTTAACCCACCTCTGTGGACTGGCTAACTTTGGCCAATATTTAACCACTGGATAGCAAAGTTAACCAGTGGATAAATTTTGAGCAACAGAATTTAACCAATGGTTAAAAGTTAACCGCTGGATAAGAGATTTAACCAGCGGTTAGTGCTAACCAAGGTTTTGAGCAACCCAGTCCAGAATGCGAATTTCTAAAGCTGGCATTCAAAGGCAATGTAGGATTTCTTGTAATCGTTGAATGGCAAATAAAGTATCAGAACTACAAGTAAAATATGGTAAATATTAAATAATGTCATTCTTTCAGCGGGGAGACACGTATAATACAAGAAATAATTACCGATGTATGCGACAAAAAAGCGTCGCCATCAATTTTTTTTACAAGAATTGGATCTGTAGCTCTCTGATCTGCTTGTCCAAATTTTCTCAACAAGAGAGCAACAGTTTTGCAGCTTCCATCATTCCAAAAAGTAGATTTAAACAAAAAAAGTCATTTTTCGACCCCTGTTGCTCCCAAGATGAAAATGAAAATTCCGAAACCGTTTTGCACAGGACACCACCAATCATCTTTAAAACGATGATTATGCTACTACATGTACATAAAATTTAAGAGGAGGTCTGGGAACCAGGATCTTTTTTGTTAAAAAAACCCCAATCAAACAAACCCATCATTTTTCGACCCCCATTTGACCCCTAGGGTGAGATTTATATTATGAAACCTTATTGTACACCTACAGGACACCACCAATCATCTTCCAATAGATAATTAGGCTAGTGATGGAACGATTTTTGCAGAAAATAGATTGTTGGGCGTTAGGAGCTCTTCGATGATACTAATCGATTACGAAATTAATGTCGCCGACATCGCTGACAAAAAATAAAATTGTCATACTTTAAATTTATTACCAAATCCAAGCGCAAAGAGCCCGTTATGCATAAATTATCCTGCGTTTCCAACTATCGTTGATGTCCCTGGCATACTCTACTAACTAGACAGTGATTCCTTATATTTTCATTTCATTGTGAAATTAAATTGTAAATTTAGATTTTAAAAATATAAACTAACAGATTTAAATTACACGAGACCTCACATGTCAATTTCAATAGTCCCCGCCCACTGACGTCAAACACAAAGACAGCCGCACGAGAATTACATGCATATTAGGCCTCCTTAGCGTCAGACGCAAAGACAGCCGCACGATATGTGATATTTCCGGGATAAATTTTTTCATCAACTGTAATAGGTACAGAAGGTAATATATCGGAAAATTTCAAAATAAGGTGACTGTTGGAAAAGGCTAAGGTTATACCACTTTCTCGTTTGTTTATTCAAATTTACACTTTGTATTCAATGTATTCAAGTTGTTATATAATGTAATTTTTAGTATTAACATGCTCACATGCTTGGTCGTGGTATTTGTTCTTCTGATCTTACTCATGCAGTTCTGGTCAATTGTCATTCATATTTATATCAACACATAATGTTAAATATGGGATATATACTTCTGCTCCAATTCTTCAATTCTATAAGTATATTTACCAGCATTATTCCACCAATGAAATCAGGTGGGCAAATTGCAAAGGAAAAAGGGGATTAGAAAAGATATAAGATAGTTCAGGGAACTCATATAACAAGGTGAAGTAGAATGGGGCGATGTTCATATGGAAATATTTTCAAAACTCGCCTCAAGCAATCTTAAAAAAGGTTTTGCAAAATTACATCAGACCGATTTAGTATGTACATGTATGAGGAAATCTCAAATGGAGCGTGCTTTGCTTATCACAAAGCTGAAAGGTATTGTAGGCTAGGTGCTTCATGCAAATTGCAGCTCAGATGCTTCAATTGCTGTGGTATACATATAATCTATTCAAGGAAGAAAACCCAATTCAACGGCCATTACGTTTATTGAACAAAGCCAAAACCCAGCAATTATTTCAAAGATATGTAACATCAACCATCACAGGTAATTCTTAATCCTTAAAGGCAACCTATCCCACAAATGGTTCCAGTAAATCCAAATAGGTTAGAGTACTGGTTGGTGTGTTATGATAAAGTAGAAACAGAATTTTTAGTTAATGGTTTTAAATATGGTTTCAGCATTGGTTACACAGGGGAAATTAGAAATATTCATTCAGAAAATTTAAAATCAGCACAGGACTTACCAGAGGTTATCAGAAGGAAGTTAGAGAAAGATATACATTTGGGTAGAATTATGGATCCCTTCAAAGAAAAGCCACTGCCAGTTTTATTGTTTCTCTTAACATCTAGTTAGCAAGAAAACAGAGGATGAGAACCGTATGATACATCATCTGTTATATACAGAAGATAAATCCGTCAATAATTGGCATGAATCTAGCATACATGAGGTGGAGTCCTTTGTTAAATACTCCTCTGTAAAACATTAAACAGCGTGGGAAAGGATCATATTGTTGCAAAACAGATATTTCTAATGCATTTTGAATTATCAATTTACATGCAACGCAGTTTAATTAATATACGTTGGTTCATTGCAAGATCAATGGTATTTTGACTTGTCTTCAGATGGGTTGCAGTCCTTTTGTCGTATATTTTAAAATATACATAAAGGTTTAGTACGGCACTTCAGTGGATAACACAAGAGAAATTATGCTTTAAATTGATGACTTAAGTATAAGATGATTTTCTAATTGTCAACGAATCTACTACAGGATGCCACAAAAAACGAGGCATTTTTAAGTTTGTGCTGACATAGGTATACCTTTGGCTAAGGATAAAACATTCGGTCCTGACAAGGTAATGACATTTCTGGGATATGAATAAGACATTGGGCTGATCGAGGCGGAGACTGGACTACCTATTG